AAAGAGCTAATTACCTGATCGTCAAGAATACCCGCCCAAATATTTATTTTAAAACGTTGTTGGAAATGACCTTCACGAATGGAATGAGGATTTTCTTGGGCCCACGTGTGAGTATCATGGAAATTTAATATCCCGTCTCGCGTAAAAGTACATCCGTCCGTCGCTAGAATGTTTTTAAACAAAATCCGGATTTTTTGTGCAAAAACCACTGACAGAATCTTAGTCTGCGAGGATAGTCTTCTGGTAACAAGGCCTGCACTCGTTGTACATGGTGGGAATAAAGCAAATTTTTCCGTAGGATTCTATGGACTATGGTATGCGATAGTCCTACGCAGCGGCCTAATTCCCGAGTGCTGATATCTGCATTGATTTCTACGATATTTAAAATTTGTTCCTCCTGCTCTACAGTAACCTGTCCTTCACGAGTGCGAATATTAGTGGGCTGAATACTTCCTGTATCTCGAAGTCTTTGGTACACTTGCACAAATGTCCTACTGTCTGGGTGTACCCGTTGGCGAAATCTGTCACGATAAATTTGAGCTGCAAGATTTGAATTCTGACGAGCTTCACCGTAAACTAACAACATGTCGGCGAACTCTTGATTCAAAAACATTGTAAATAAACACGACGACGCACGCGAACAAAAACAAAACAACACGCCCGATGCTCTGCTCGACAAAACGATAAAGTAATTTATCTATAGTGGATACCAAATAAAACCCGATGCACGTCATCGATCTGGAGCTGTGCGCTGTTGCCAGAATTTGCACATTTTCTTTTAAGCAAATAAATTTAATAAAATAAATTGTTTATATATACCTACCATTTACTATAATACCATTATATTAAAAATAAATAAACTTGTTGTAAAATTAAATTCCTTTCTGAATAAAAACACCTGATTTTGGTAGATATTCAATGATATGAGCTCTTTACACCGACTGTTAAGTTGTTTTGGCATTTTGGATACTTTACACCACTTCACAGTAACTGTTGTTCTGAAAAGAACAATTTTTAATTGGCAAGGCAACGATTTAAAGCTCAAATAGCGCAAAACTCACAAACTAAACAATAAAGAACTAATAGTACGACAAAAGGACAATGGCAACTGATGTCAACAAATGAGAAGTGGCAACCTCACATTTCTCTGCACGGCACTACCAACCGAATCGAGACGGGGAAATTTAAACTTCAAGTAGAAATGTCACATTGAATGTAGTCAACTGTTGGTAACCATGATTTTATGAATGACATCACCTATGACGTGCATCGGATTTTATTTGGTATCCACTATATGCAAAACGATAACTAGACCGACTAGATGTTGTCATGTATGTTTTGAATATTTAATTCAATGAAACTTACTTACTGGCTACAAATTTTGGCTAAACTTAGAAAGACTTAATGCCATTTATTTGTTACTTACCCAATTTAAAACGTTTTAGATTAGATTATGAAAATTAGTAAGATTGTGGTGATTGTGGTCGATATAAAGCACTTAAAGTTGTAAACTATAAAGCCATTTAGACAAAGATCTATTGACTTTTGGACCATGGGCCATACGAACTTGTTGAGTTTTTTGACCACCCGATTACTCATTTCAATAATGACTACCATAACGTTTACACCCTGTATAACAAGCTTCAAGTAAGTAAACCTTGGATAAGATCCAAGATAAGTCAAGGACTAAAAGTAAGGGTGATGTTCGTGTGAAGATCCAAAAAGGCGTCCAAAAAGGGCAAGGTCCAAAGCCGGTAAGCCAAGTATAAAACTAAGTCTAGGGAGGTAGCCCTAGCCATTTTTCCCTAACTGGGCACACACATAATTACAATGAGGTTTTAAGGCAAATGTACCTCCAATCTCTCTACACGATGCTTATAGCGCATCGCAATCGAATAAAGAATTTTACCCTACAATTCAACATGCTAAGCGAAACTCCCATTCTTATTTAATGATAGTCTGGTGTAAATAAAAAATGAATAAACACTACTACTATGCGAAAGGTTGGGAATGCTCGAAACTGGAGATACAGACCAAAATATGTGAATTGCCCTAAACATAACTTGTCCAAAAGTTGACAGTTTGCGAGATACAGGGTGGCAAAGTTACACTTTTATTTTCTATTGCTTGTGAGGTACGAGTATATGAGATTTTGGCATAAAACTCTGTAGGGAGGTTTTCTAGTAGGGGAATCAAGAATCCGTTATTGTTTATGGCCAAACTTCTAGACATATTTCGGTAAATAACTTATCATAACTTCTTTGTGCTACCCTGTATACAACACCTGTCCAAAACATCTTATTTTCTCGTATTTCAAGGGTTCAAGCTCTTTCGCCTGAAGGTTTTCTACGAAGAGCAAATTTTTGTAATTGGTTTTGGGTAACGACCAACGAAATCACACTCTTGTAGCGAGCATGAAATGGAATTTGGAATTTTCGCAATTTTGATAATTGGCCGGGCGAAAATCCCCATGCAATTGCACAGGAGAATTCGTAGTATCAATTTTCTGTTAATGTCTGGGCTGGAATAACTGGCGACCAATTAATAGGACCACATCGCTTGAACGGTGATAGCTACTTAGCTTTTCTAAGAGACAATTTGGTTTGTTGGAAGAAGTGGCATTGCAAACAAGAACGAATATGTGGTACTTGCACGATGGTGCTCCAGCACACGCTAGTCGAGTACTTGTGGAACATCTCAAAAATACCTATGGGAATAGGTGGATAGGAAGAAATGGTCCAAATGCCTGGCCGGCTAGATCCCCGAACTTAATCCGTTAGATTTCTTCTTCTGGGGATTCATGAAAATTTAGTTTGCGCCTCTGAAATAAGGGATGAGAATGATTTATGGGAGCGTATTTCGGCCGCCGCTAATGAAATATGCCTGGAATTTTTCAACTTGTGTCAAGCTTGCGTAGATGCTCATGGTTCCCATTTTGAACATCTATTGTGATTACTATTACATTTAACTGTAACTTCATGTGGTTTACGGATGTTGCTTTTTTTTCTTTTTTCGTGCAACGCATCGTGTCAAATAAGTAACTGATAAGCGTGGGCATTGGTGATGTGTATCACCACGTGCCGGCAGGTTCTGTCATTTTTTTAAGTAAATGTACTGTACTGCTGTACTGAGAGCGTTATTCAATAAAAAATATTAGCCACAAAGAATGCGTAAAAGTATTCAATAATTCAAGGCATATGTTCAACAAAAATATCATACAAACGTAAACAATTCGATAAATCAGTTGCGGTCGTCAAGCGCCCGTATCGCGATTGCGTTGCAGTGTTGCCAAATGTTTGAGAAAATTTAATTATTTACGACTCACTTTCCTCGAAAACGATTGATTTTCGGACATAAGTTATAATGAACTTTTTTGCTTAGAATAATGCAAGAAATCACCTCCTAAAGTTACGAATATTATTTCCCTAACACCCCGTATAAAAACGACGTATCTGACGTCTGGGCCTCCATTGTGCCCCTATTTACGAGGATTTAGCACATCTTGTCCAATTAAACATCCAAAAAAGGGGGACTTAAAAGCATAAGGTCCAAAAAAAGTAAGCCAAGGTTAAAGCTAACTCTAATCGGAATCATTTTTGCCTAATTAGACACACGTATAATTATATTTAGCACAACGTGCTCTTGATTTACATTGTCAGAAGAAAGAAAATGAAATGTGTTTGTCTCTGAAGTAACTAGAAGGTGAATGGTAGAAATCGACCTTAAGGTAAATTGCCAGAGATGGGAATGGGTATAAATTTGCATAGAGATGGGCGAAGCCTTCGGAATTCACGAACGATAGAACCGTTAAGGTGGCTCAAGACACAACTGCATGCTTGTCCAGCATGCTTGTTCAATATTTTTGTACAAGTACGCTTGAATGTTTGTAGGGAAACGTGGTGAAAGCTTCGTAATTGTACAAGCAGCTTGAGGATTGAATTGATTTTAATTATGCATGCTTGAGTTAGGCGCGCTTGCGCAAGCAAAACGGTACGTGTGTACCCAAAATTGTCAAGTTTGCACAAGTTGGCGTCTCTCCTGTTGTGTTGAAAATATCGTGACTGGTCGTACGTAGTAGCATTTGAGTAATTTTCGTCATGACTAGTGATCCCAAAACGGTTAAGCAAAGAGGGATGCAGCGTACAGAAGATTATTACAAAAATATAGGTTAATTGATGTTAATGCCGACAAGGATGCAGTTGTTAAAAAGATAAACTTCTTCCGGACTAATAATAGAAGAGAAAAGAAAAAAGTTGAAGATGCAGAACACTCAGGAATGGGTGCAGATGAACGTTATGAGCCCACACTCTGGTACTACCACCTGTTTCACTTTTTAGGAGATCAAGAAACACCTAGAATTCAGTATATAACTTGAACGAGACAGAGGTAAGTTTTATTGTTTTTCATATTTATACATAAGTAGTTTATTTATTTGCATAAAAAGTCCACACACACTTAATGTACCATATTATTTTATTAATGTATGAAGTTGTGTTGCCAAGGTACTGCTCTTTCATTGGAAAAGTAATTCCTGAATTCTTCTCTAACCTGTTTAGCATTAAATGGCGTATTTCCTGTCATATGGGACCTTTGTAATGATGACATGTTAGAACTTTCAGAGGTCAAGCCAGCGCGAATCATACCACTTTCTATGTCCTCTAAGTGAAAAGAGTCCGGTGGAGCATACATTTATTTTACTGTCGACATTAAATAATTGTGTAAAGCACATGTTGCTTTCAATATTTCCTCAATGTGATATAACTCTAAATTGATAGAGGTGTGAAAAATTCTAAAGCGTGCTGCCATAATCCCAAAGACGTTCTCCACGATTCTCCGTGCTCTCAATATAATCGGTAGTTGTAATTTTTTTTCAATACAAGTTAAATCACTCTGTCTGTATGGTTTCAGCATGTCAGGCCTCAAAGGAAAAGCATCATCTGCGACAAAAACAAACGGTAGCTTTCGTGACTCATTTGCAACTTCTTTTTCTCCGGGAATGTTTAATAATTTGGCCTGAAGTCTTCTAAAAATTCTGTATTCTGAAGCACACCTCCATCTGATACTCTGCCATTTGTACCGAAATCAAATACAATAAATTTATAATTTGCATCTGCTATGGCAAGTAGAACTAAACTGTGTCTATGTTTGTAACTGAAAAAAAAAGATCCACTGTTGGCTGGAGGAATTATATCGATATGTTTTCCATCTAGGCTGCCAAGACAATGAGGGAAATTCCATCTCTTTTCGAAATCCTTTGCTATAGCAATCCAGTCGTTTTCAGTTTGTGGAACCTGGAAATAAATTAATATAACAATACACAATATACAAAATAATTACAACTACATTATATCTAATAGTAGATGTTATATGTATTTATATTTGCTAAATATTATTATCAGGAAGAAGTTGAAGCCCAACCAACTGAAAATTCTATAGAAAGTTTAGACCAACCCATTGAGGAGGATGAGTCAACAACACCGGATGATACTGGCTGTCAAACAACTGAGGCCACACAATCCACCCCAAAGAAAAGCACCATTTCCCGACCACCTAAACGCAAAATTGACAAATGTGGTTCTGTGTTGGACGCAACTGAAGGCCACTTTAAAAAACCCAAGTTAAAAGAAGATAGACATGACATTTTTGGGAAAAACGTCGCTCTATAAATGAGAGACATAACAAACAATATTCAGAGATTGTTGGCAGAAAAAATGATTAACGATACATGATTCATGGCAGAAATGGGTCAGTTGACTCCGTCCCATCGTATTTGTGGTGAAACTAACAATACGTATTCTACAGATTGTCCTTCACCTCAACAATTAAATACCAATTACTCCCATTTCCCCTCAACTTTTCCTCAATCTTAGGTACATTATGAAACTCTTTCTCCAGTAACCCCCAATGATAATTCCAATCATTCTATCGCGTCCTATATTTCAAATTTTAGCGATGCTACTTTTTGTAAATCTTTTCGTCAAAAAAATAATAAATAACTGAGTTTAAATAGTCCTATTACTCACCTTCAAATACCTGCTTCTTAACACCTTGTAAATGACATGGCAGGTTTCAGGAACTATATAACTTAATGCTTGTGGTGAAATAATAGTTGAATACTTCAGGTCTTTATAACTCCTCCCGGTTGCAAGAAATCGCAATGTTGCCGTTCATCTTTCATGTGGTGTTATGGCTTCTCTCATGATCGTATCCTGCTTTTGAATCAAAGGTGATACAAGAGACAAAAGGTTCAAATAGGTCTCTTCGTCCATTCTAAGATAATTGTGCCAGTCACGCGGATATATTTTCAGCTCACTTAGTAAATTAATGTGAGAATAGGTTTTCCTTTTCATCAACTATTCTTTACACAACACCGCACGCTTTTTCATTTTGGATTTTTTTTCTTTACAAGAACAAAAGCGATCAAAGCGAGCGCATCGTCGTCCGAGCTCGACATATTTCATTAAACTACCTCTCCTTTTATCAAGCATACTTGTACGTGTGGTGCCGAAGGCGATTTGAGCATACTTGTACAAAAAGCTTGAATGCGCATGCTGGACAAGCTTGCAGTTGTGTCTGTAGCCACCTTTAGAAGCATAAACTCCATACGAACAAATAACACCTGTAACCATGTAGAAATTATAAACTTTTGCTGATTGGATCGTCCTGTCTGATGAGGCCTAGAACCTTTTACCTTATCCTCGTATAACGAAAAGTAGGCGCATAAATGAGCCTCCTGAGAAAACATTTGTAGCTCTCGATCCTCGTTTGCTGACGTCCCGGACAAAGATGCTGCAATTTAGATGTAGTAGATTACAGGATTAGAATTTAGATAGACCGGCTCTTTGAAATGTTAATTCCAATGAGGCAAATTTTCATCCAGAAACTACTACTGCTACGCAGTTGAAATTGTCAAAGGGTAAGAAGGGTCCTTTACAAGTTTGTCGTTACTGATATGGACATGCTGGCTCGTGAGAACCTTAGAGCTAATTTGATGAAATTCAAGATTTGAACTACACTAGAGTTAAATACAGCAAGCTAGGAAAATTATTGCGGGCCGTTCATTTTGAATAATCGGATAATTTTCCCATGAAAATTAAGCCTACAGGTATAATGACGCTCTCGTGTTATTCGTCATTACCGAAGATTATCATTACACTGAAATTGATGTTATATTTGGGTGAGGTGAATAAAACCAAGTAAGCACTTCATAAGCATTTACTTACGAGAGTTGAAGCAAATGTTTGGCAATGAGCGTTTGTGGTCGTCTAAATGGTGTTAAAAGCCATGGAGATATACCACATCCGCTGTCCCCTACCAAGCAAGCATTCCCTCGGAATCTTGCAAGTTGCCACCGGCCCATAATCCACACCAAACAGTGATTTTTTCGGGATGCATTGGTAGCTTTTGCAATGCTTCTGGCTGGGCTTCACTCCAGATGTGGCAATTTTGCTTGTTAACGTGCCCATTTAACCAGAAATGAGCTTCGTCGCCGAACACAATTTTTCGATAAAAATGTGGATCTCCCTCCAACTTTGCCAGCGCCCATTCACCAAATTGGAAACGTTGTGGGAGGTCATGTGGCTTCAATTCTTGCACCAGCTGTATTTTATAAGGTTTTACACCCAAATCCTGTCGCAAAATTTTCCACGTAGTGGAGTAACAGAGGCCCAATTGCTGTGAAGGGCGGCGAATCGACATTTCACGGTCATCACTAACACTGGCGGATACAGCCGCAATATTTTCTTCAGTCCTCACTCTACCTCTGCGTGTTGGTGGTTTAATGTCCAATAATGTAAACTGGGTTCGAAATTTAGTCACAAGCTTCCGAATAGCTCCCTCAGTAGGCCGACCAAATTGCCCATAAATTGGAAGCAGTGCTCGATGCACTCTCTTAACCGAGCATGAATTTTGATAGTAAAATTGAATAATTTGCAAGCGTTGTTCGTTCGTAAGTCGATACATGGTTAAATTATAGACCAAACTGAACAAGTTTGACAATGACACAAGACACGATTCACGCGTCATCTGTGAAAAACAGTGTTGTCAAAAAGATACTAGCAAAATAAATCACCCATTAGTTTGTAATGAAATCGATATTTTCATTTTCATCGTTTCTCGCAGATATTTGAAATTCTTCAAATTCGTAGGATATCTACTTCTAAGTAACCACAACAAAATTGGAGTAGGTTGGTCGAGTAGTTTTTATGGTTAGACTACTTGATGTACTTTTTAATCCATAAAAATTAATAAGATTGTTTTTCTTTTTGCAATTTTAACCAGCAATCGGTATTTCGCGAACAACCTCGGGATGCATCTGCTAGAATTTTTATTTGAATATTTCTTATGCAGATTGTTTAACCACTAAATAACGATAGCCTTTTAGGTGTTGATCATTAAAAAGATATCTTATGTACATGCAATCCACAGATAAAGTGTATCTAAAGATCAACTCATCACCTAGCCAAAAGGTCTTTCCGCCACGGTATATTCGAGAACACAACAACAAAACAAAAAGTTAGAAACTAGTTGTCGGATGCAGAAAGCAGAAACTACGGTACTGATAAGAAGGAAATAGCGGGGTGTAACGCACATATTAGCATAGTCCCTTATAATTTCTAGTACATTTGCTAGATCATCTCTTACGGTTTAAGGCAGCCATTAGAGTTTGTGTACCTAATTTGAATTCGTCCTATCAGAACCAGTAATTGCGACATCCCCTTGCGCTGAACCGCAGAGCGGAGTAGATTTTGTAGACGAATATCGGAATCCTATCAAGGGTTTATCTAACAGTTTGCGGACATATCCATCTTATTATAATAAAGTCGGTCATTTTATATTTTAAATAAGCTGACCCGACAGACGGTGTCCTGTCTTAGCTATGAACCGGAATGAATAATGAATAATAAAAATAAAAGGGTAAATATATGGAATCAAAAAACTCACTTAACAAACTGAAAACTGGAGAAAAGCTCTAATCAAATAAAATACTATTTATTCATCGATAAACTCTGTTAAACGATAATAAATCAAATCCAAGCGAATTACCAAAATTTCTGTGCTTTGTACCGCTGGCGCTGTTACAATATGGTTTAAGGTGACACACGGCCTGATGACGTCAGTAACTCGAATCGCTTGAACGCGTTGGTCTTAACCGCGATTTTGTTGCACGTTGTTTATTTTAGAAAAGCGCATAAATAATTTCTGATTATTTTTATTATCACTTAATAATCGGTGCTTTTTCGTCTACAACAGGGTATGGAAAGTTTAAAAAAGACACCTTTCATAATATTAATGGGAGAGATGTTTTTTTTACAGAAAATAGTTTTTATTGATGGCTTTATAGCGCTGATAACTTTAAATTCTCTAAACCTTTCCGCATGTCAAAGAAAACATTTTTATTTACATTTGGTTATTCGCTTGAATTTGATTAACACACTGTCAAGTTCAAAATGATAGAGTAGTGAAAGTCAATTAAGCAAAAGAATCGTATTTTCATCCCCCATTTTTATTCATAGTGTTAACTGATAAAAATAACAGGCGACACTGCAGTTTCGTTTGAAGAGGCCATCATAATGTACGGATGGTAAAGAAATGTCAGACCAAAAACGAAAGCACCTTGTTTTCATAAGCAGTGCTCTATGCTCAAGCAAACTGTCAAACGCCCGTAACTTAAAAATAATCATTACGTTTTCAATGACTTCTCAATTTCCTGCGCAGTTTTCTTGATTTTTCTTTCCGTAAGAACCTTCTATACAGCATAAGGAAACTTTGAAGAAAAATATGGATGAAATCGGTAAGGTCGCTCTCAAGTTACGGCCTGACCACGCGGGATTGAGATTCATTTATATACAGGGTGACTTTGAAGTTGAGTCATTAATTTTCAGATAATGATTGTAGAAGGAAGATAAACCAAAATATGTGTGTAAAAATAAAAAAAAAATGTTACCTTGTTTTATAAAGTATCCTTCCGACAAGTATTTCAGTGCGGACCTGTATTTGATCGTGCGGTCTTGGAGCACCGGCATGCCCTCCCCTGTGAGGTCTTAAGTCACCTGATTCACGAGCCCTTTGTACTACATTAACAAAGGCACGAGGGGTAGGTTGCACTCGATTGGGAAACCGATCCGCATAAATCCGTGATGCCGCGGCAGCATTTTGTAAAGACTCCCCTCCCAGCATTTTCGTAAACATGTGCCATTTTTTATTTCGTTTCAGCCACGCAACAAACACCACTATTCACTCACGCGTTACCGACTGACACATTGACTGAATACAACTGAATAAAATTGTA